ATTTCGGTCGACGACGACGACGACGACGACGACGACGGCAACCATCTAACCGTTTGTTGTTGTCCTTTTTGATTTCAGGTTTATCCTAAGAGAGACGTCACGAACATTGTGGAAGCAAGTCATTATTTAAAGGTTCCAAATTGGTGTAAAGTCGGTCATAAAAAATGCAAAATATCCAGATGGGTCAAACCTTTTCGATGCTTGGGTGAGAAATTATCATTTAAAATTTTTTTTTTTTTCTATTCGTTCGTTAATCTAATTAATATTCAATTTCAACGGTTTTTTAATTACTTCAAGTTGAAAGTAATCGAAAACGAAATCGATATAGCCAACATAACAAAAAAAAAAAAAGCAAAAAAAAACCTTCGCCATTTTTTTTTTTATTTTTACGGTGATGTCGATGTCATAATTTTTTTTTTTTTTTTTTTTAAATTTTCAACGGAAAAATTTTCGCATTCTCTCGAGAGTCGTTTTTCTCTCTCTCTCTCTCTCTCTCTCAACTTTGAAAACATTCAAATCCATTTTAAATTGTTTTACGTTTTTTTTCCCTCTCTCTCTATTGCTTCCCCCTCTCTCTCTCTCTCTCTCTCTCTCTCTCTCTCTCTCTCTCTCTCTCGGTCGTATTATAACACTTTGCTGTTAATTGTTCTCCTGGTTTATCTCAGGTGGCTTGTAAATAAACAAATATTAAAAAGTTCTCCGGAGAGAGAGTGAGAGAGAGAGAGAGAGATAGAAAGAGTGAGAGAGAGCTTTTAACAGTTCACTAGTTAGTTTTTCAACTCTCTATAAACTTTTTATCGTTTCGAAAGAGAGAGAGAAAGGGAGAGAGAAAAATTATTTTCCGATAAAAAAAAAAAAAGGAAAAACTATAAAAAAGATTTTTTTTTCTTTCTTTTTTTCTTTCTTACCCCGTTAGATTTTCCAACTTTTCAAAACTGTTATAATCATCGTAGTTGATTTAAATGATGTTTTTTTTTTTTTTTATTCATCTTCATCGATGGAAAATTCTCTATTCTCTCTCTCTCTCTCTCTCTCAAACGATTTTAATGGAAAGCATGTTTTCCAAAAATGGGACAAGTAAAAAAAAAATTAAAAATTATGTTGGGTAAAAAAAAAAAAGGAAAAAAACGATGTTTTTGTTACGTTTGTAAAAAACAAGTTAAAATTTTTTTTTCCTGAAGAAAAAAGAAAACCGTTAAGGGAAAATGCAAAAAAAAAAAAAAAAAAAAAAAAAAAAAACAAGAAAATCGATGTAGGCGTGTTAAAAAGAGCTTAAAAAGGGCTACGTTATAAAACAAAATAATAATAATAATAATAATAATAATAATAATATTCGACGTAATAAAAGGCTTAACTACCTCATTTTAAATGCCTAATTTATTTTTAACGGATTTTTTCCCCTAATTATTTTGGGCAATTTGGTTTTGGTTTTTGGTTTTTTTTTTTTTTTTTTTTTTTTTTTTTTTTTTTCTATGGTGGAAAATGCAAAAAAAAAAAATTCGCGAGAGAGTTGTTTATTTTTACAATTAATTGCCTAATTTTTTAGGACAATTAAAAAATGGGGGCGGGGTGTGGGGGTGGGGAGAAAAGAAGGAAGGAAAATGGAAAATTTTTTCTTTTTCTTTTAACAAATATTAAATTTTTTTATAATTTAAATTCATTTTCGCTTTGAAAAAGTTATTATTAAATATTTCAAAAATGAAAATGAGGTTTTTTTTTTTTTTTTTTTGTAAAATGGCGAGGGAGAGAGAAAGATGGAAATAATAATAATAATAATAATAATAATAATAATAATAATAATAATAATAATAAGCCAACGGCCATAGCGTGCTGGTCACACCGGTTCCCGTACGATCACCGAAGTTAAGCAGCATCGGGCGTGGTGCAAACTTGGATGGGTGACCGTTTGAGAACGCCACGTGCTGTTGGCTTAAAAGAGCAAAAAAAAAAAAAAAAAATGAGAACAAGACAAAGTAAGAACCAAAAAACAAATCTTGTTCTACTGTCGACCTGAGGCAGCTCGACGAGAACGTGAATTTCACTGCTTCTGACCTGGCCACTCCAAAGATGTTAGTCACCGGAGCCCAGTTCAGGAGACAAATCGTTCCCATCGAAAAAGACGGACTCAGGAAGACCTTCAAGAATTGATGTGGTGCTATCTTATAATAAGTGGCACCACCGAAATTCGAGTATTTGTCCCTAAGGAATCGGGTAGAAACCTCGGATAAATACTTAAAAACTCCGACAAGTAGCCTTGTCGTGTTTAATGGTGGATAATAATAATAATAATAATAAAAATGTTTATTGAAATTTTCATCGTTTAACTTGTTGAATTGTCGTGACATTTTTCATGTGGTACAAATTTAAATGTGAACGATTTAATTTTTTTTTTTTTTTTGTAAGTGGCAGAAGCTAGCTGAAAATTTTCTTAATATCCTTTTTTTTTTTTAAATTTTCCACGTTGCCTTTTAAGGTTTTAATTTGTTTCTCTCTCTCTCTCTCTCTTTTTTTTTTAAACGCTTTGTGTGGGTGTGTGTCGCTCTGTCTACTTAATTAAAACCGTCAATCAAGGGTGTGTTTTAAATCGATCCTTTTTTTTTTTTTTTTTTTTTTTTAGAGGGTCCTTTCCAAAGCGATGCGTTGTTGGTCCCGGAAAATTGTCTTTTCGATCACATACACAATCAAACTAAATGTTGGGAATTTTCTAAATGGAATTTGACGGCGAGTCAAAGTTGCCAAGAAAGAGAAATGCAGTTGAGAAGTTTTGCCATGTTGCTCCCGTGCGGTATCAGTCTCTTTTCCGGAGTCGAATTCGTTTGCTGTCCGAAACATTTAAAAGGTACGTCGGGTACGTCGACTCGCGACGGATGAAATTTACTCGAGTAAAAAAATTTAACTCATCATTCGATGACGACTTGTTTTCAGACAATATGAAACCCAAAAAGCCACTCGATGTCATTCCGATGCCCGTTAAAGAAGATGAAGAATCTCCCGACGAAGCAGATGACGATGATGATCAAAATGATGACGACGATGACGATGACGGCGATGACGATGATCAAATAGTTGATGATAACGCTCAAGATGATGCCGAAGAAATGCAAGGAGACGATCCGGGAGAAGAGGATGATGATGATGACGACGACGACGAAGACTACAGCGACGGAAGTGAAAGTTCAACGACTGCAAAACCCAAATCCGGATCTGGATCGTCGTCGTCTTTACCTCATCATCGTACATCAACTCCCAAAAGTGGACCGCCTACTCCGGACCCATATTTCACGCATTTCGATCCTAGAATCGAACATCAAGCATACAAAGAAGCTCAATTGAGGTTAGAAGAATTACACCGCGAAAAAGTCACAAAAGTAAGTTTTAAATAAGTTATTTACATAACTTTATTTAAAAAGCATAAGAAAATAATAATAATGAATTCGGTTCTCTTAAAGGTCATGAAAGATTGGTCGGATTTGGAAGAAAGATATCAAGATATGAGAACATCTGATCCGAAAGCAGCGGAAGAATTTAAAAAGCGCATGACTCAAAGGTTTCAGAGAACCGTGCAAAGTTTAGAAGACGAAGGAAACGCTGAAAAACATCAATTGGTTGCCATGCATCAACAACGAGTAATGGCACACATAAATCAAAGGAAAAAGGAAGCCATGACCTGTTACACGCAAGCACTCAACGAAAATCCTCCCAATGTAAAAATTTTTACTCTATTTTCAAATTAAAAAAAATTACAAGAAAATTAAATAAAAAAAAATTTATTTTTTTTTTCAAACAGGCTCACCGAGTTCAAAAGTGTTTGCAAAAGCTTTTGAGATGCCTTCACAAGGACAGACATCACACAATAGCTCATTACAAACATTTACTCAGTTCGAGTTTCGAACAGGCGGAAAGAGAGAAAAGCATAACATTGGAACATTTGACCGATATCGACAGGATGGTTAACCAGAGTTTGCAAATGTTGCAAAGGCAAGTTGGTTTCATTAATCAAATAACCGTCGTCAAATCGAATTTGGATTAATTTGTTTTTTTTTTTCCAATGTACAGATATCCTGATTTGCTAGGAAAAATCGGACAACTCATGGATGATTACATTCAAGCATTGAGAAGCAAAGACGAAACACCGGGTTCGCTCCTGACAATGACAAAAGAAGCTGAAGCGGCAATATTAGACAAGTATCGAGCGGACGTAACGGCTAAACAAGAAGGTAATGCCTGGTTTTATTTTTATAAACCTTAATGGCGAAAGTAATTAATCGACGACGTTTCGTTTCGTTTTCAAAAAGAAAAAGAACGTCAGCGAGCTTTAGAAAAACAGAGAAAAGAAGTTCGGAAGAAGGAAAGAATGGAATTGAGAGAGGAAAAACATCGTGTGGAATCAACGTTGGGTCAAAAAATAGACAATTTCGATCCGGAAACGATGGAGGATGAGAAAATTGTTGAAAAAGATGAGACGACGGTAACCACGGCCAAAACGTTGGATGTTCTTTCTGCCGTACACCATAACATGCCCAAGGTAGCACACGCTCAGAGTCACGATATAAGTCATAGCGAACCGGTAAGAAACCTTTTTAATGTTTGTAAGAAGAAGGAGAAGAAGAAGAAGAATCCATTCGTGATTGTATGCACTCTCATTATTGTCATTCCAGTCTTATTCTTTGCGACGTGAAATTTACCATCACGAAAGCAGGAGCATTTATTTCACTTTGGCATTTGCTGGAATCGCACTCATGGCAGCCGTAATTGTAGGCGTTGCCGTTTTCAGAAGGAAAAGCGCCCGACATCCGCATAATCAAGTAAAAAAAAATCCTAATTTTATTATGAATTCGTATTATTACGTTTTGATTTGTAAAATTTCCTCCCTCCCCTCTCTCTCTCTCTCTCTCTCTCTCTCTCTCGCACACACACAAAAAAACATTTTTCTTTTTTTTACTTAGGGTTTCGTCGAAGTTGATCAAGCGGCCACACCGGAAGAGCGTCACGTTGCCAACATGCAAATCAACGGATACGAAAATCCGACTTATAAATATTTCGAAAACAAGGAATAATTTAATAATCAATCAGGATTACCAACACAACAAACGACATTCCGAAATAATTTCACGATAGGTTAAAACATTTTCTTTTTTATTTTATTTATTTATTTTTCTTTCGGTGAGTTGTTTCCATGATGAATCATCCCTGGAAGAAAATTTTTTTTTTTATTTGTGAATGACGTCAGAGTTATCGCGTGATGTAAAAAATTTTTTCTGTTTTTTTTTTTTTTTTTTTTTTTTTGAAAAACTTTTGTCTCGAGACGAGCGTATTCATTTGAGAAAAACCCACCCCCCCAATTGAGGGGCGGGGGGTTCTCTCTCTCTCTATCTCTTTCTATCCCCACGGTTAGTTTTAATACGTGTGTCATTTTTTTTTTTTTTTTTTTTGCTTTCGGAAAAAAAAAAAAAGTAATTCTCATTTGCTGATGCCGCTGCCACTGAAAAAAATTAAAAAAATAATAGTTCAATAATAATAATGATAAAATAAAGGGATTCGGTATATTAGATTAAAAAATATAATATTTCGGATGCTTAATTTTAATGATAATGATAATAATGATAAAAAGCAGCTGACTTGGGGGTTAATTTTTTTTCTCTCTTTTTTTTTTGGGTTGTTAAAATTTGAAATTATTTCGTTTGGTTTTTTTTTTTTTTTTCCCCGCGTTAATGATAATAAAATTAGAACAAATATTTTCCTTAATGATGAATGATAGCAAAAAAAAAAAAAAAAAAAAATTTTAGTTGATTTCTCATAGCAATAGAACGAATATTAAAGGGAAATAAAAAAACAAAAAAAAATGAGAAAAAAAAGCAAAACAAAAAAACGAAAAAAAAAAAAAAAAAATTATTTTTCTGTATCGGTGTATTGATGATAATAATAATAATTAATAATAATAATAATAGTTATAGGTATAATTATAAAAGCTTAATTTAAAGAGAAAAAAAAAATTTTTTTTTTTTTTAAAGCCGGATAAAAAAACAAGAAGAAAGAAAATTTTACCAAAAATAAAAAATTTTAATTAATTAATTAATTTTTGTAATAAATTATTTATTTTATTAATTTATTTAATTACAATCGAACAAACAAACAAGCAAAAAAAAATGTGATGGATTTAAATTTTGTTTGTTTAAAATGCTTGTCGTGATTTTATCATTGTCATTACTATTATTATTATTATTATTGATATATATTTTTTCTTTTCATCGTTTTCACCGCATGTGTGCGTGCGTGTGCGTGTTTGTGTGTGTAAAAAAAAAAAATTATTATTATTACTATTATTGATTTATTGATTGATTGATTGATTGAACGATCGATTCTGCCGATTTTTGTGCAAAAAAAAAGAAATTTTTAGTTAATAACAAATAGATAGTCGAAGTAGTTAGATTGAATAATATAACATTAAAAAAAAAAAAAAAAAGTTAGTGTTAAAAATTAACCCCGGGGGAAAATTACACACATATATATATATATAAATAAAAGGGAAAAAAACGTATTTTTTATGGGCTTAATGATAATGATAAAAATATATTAATAATAATAATAATAATAAATAATTAATTAATTAATAAAATAAAAAATTTAAAAAAAATTATTATTCGTTTTTATCATTGGTTAGATACACTTATTGGAAATATTATGAGAATGGAAATTCTTTTTTTTTTTTTTTTTTTTTTTTTTCTATGTGGTTTCTCTGCGCGATAATAATAATAATAATTATTAATTAATAAGAATTATTAATAATAATAATAAACAATAACAATAACAATATAACAAAAAAACACGTTGGTGCAATTTTTTTTTCGTTTTGTTTTTTTTTTAAATTTATAATTTATGCTTCGATTATTATTATTATTATTATTAATTTATTTATGTACTTGCTTACATGAAAATGTCGTATTTTTATTTAAATAATAATAATAATGAGAATAATATTTTGTAAGAGGAAAAGTAATGATGATGATAATAACAAAATGTCGGATGAACACGTTAATTAAAAGTTTTTATTATTATTATTTTTCGTGCAATACCTCAAAATTTTTTTTCAATATGGCGGAGTGCAATTTATTATTATTATTATTATTAATGATTTATTCGGCTTGATTAAATAATAATATATTAATGCTAAAATTAACTTTTGAAAACATACATACATAAAAAAAAAGAAAAAACTTATAAGATTCGTATTTATTTATTTATTTTGAAAAAAATTTAAAAATTAAATAAAAATGGAGGGGAAGGTAATTAATATACCGATACGAAATTAAATGAATGTTCGATAAATCGATAAATCGATCGATAGATCAATCGATTGCTTGTAATTATATAAAAAAAAAAAAAAAATTAAAATTTTTTTCGTCATTCTTAATGTATTTTAAATTTATAAAAAAAAAAAAAAATTTTTTAAATGTATGAGGCAACTTAACAAACGACAAACGATTTATTATATAACAAACAAAAAACAAATATTTATATATACATAAATTAATTACAAATAAATAATAATAATATAAATAATAATAATAATAATAATAATAAATGTTTTAAACGGTTTTGACAATAAAAAAAATTATTTTGAAAAAAAAAATGAATTAATTATTTAATTATTTAATTTTTTGCTTTTTTCTATTTATGTATTTATTATTAATTTTATTATTATTATTATTATTATTTGGTTATTTTTTTAAATTAAATGATAGTAAGGCAGCATCATATTGATAATAAATCAATTAATCAAAACAATGTAAAAAAGAAAGAAAATAATAATAATAATAATTTTTTCTTTTTTTATTTGTAGTTTGTATAAGATGATATTATTATTATTATTATTATTATTATTATTATTATTATTATTATTATTATTATTATTATTTGCATTGATTGTGTAGTTAATTAAAATTTATTCGTTATTTTCCTTACACGTGACATTTAATAAATTTTTAAAAAAATAGGTGCGTGTATTTTACTAATACATAATATAATAAATAAATAAATAAATAAAATGATATTAGTTATGAGTCTAAAAAAAAAAAAAAACTGACCGTCCAAGTTGTAGAAGCAGCCAAAAGATTCAAAAAAAAAAAAAGAATTTTTTTTCATTCATTCAATCATTCATTCATTCGCTTATTTATTTATTTATTTACATTCTTATTTGTTTAAATAATTTTTATTATTATTTTTAATTTTATTTTAAATTCGAATATGTTGTCTATAAGCAACATTATTCATAATAATGATGATGATGATAAAGATGATGATAATGATATTTATTTTTTTTATTTTTATTTTTTACTTTAATTTTACTGCCATTTTTCTATCGTTTATTATTATTATTATTATTATTACTGCTATTATTATCATTATTCAGTTTGCTTGTTTGTTTGTTTCTTTGTTTTTTTTACTGAAACTTTTTACTTTCTTATTTTTTATTACAAACAATGAATTTTATTTTTTATTATTATCATTATTCGAACGCTTTTGCGATTGAAATAATATTGATAACGATAATAATGATAACAGTCGCGAAAAATGTTTATTGCAAGCATGTAATAATAATAATAATAATAATAATAATAATAGTTCTGATAAAGATGATTTTAATTGTTATTTTTAGTTTTTTTTTTTTAATTTTAATTTTTTTTTTTTTTTTATAACAAACGATTTGTAATATTTAATAATAATGATAATAATAATAATAATAATAATATTAAATTATATATTGTAATAAAGCCTCTCGAATCTAATCGTACTATTAGTTTTTTTTAATAATAATAATAATGATGACGTTTATCGTTTTTTTTATTTTATTTTTTAATTATTTTGTAATTTGATCGATCAATTAATCAATCAATTGATTAATTAATTTTTTAATAATATTAATCGATCGATTCGTTTTTTTTTTATTTAATCACAAATTTATTATTATTATTATTATTATTAATTTAAATTTTAATTTAAAAAATTAGATTTTTATGTAGTTATTAATTATCTATAAGTAATATTAAACAATTTAACTTTTTTTTTATTTTTTTTGATTTTCTTATTTTATAATTAATATCATTACTACTACTACTGCTATTACTAATATTATTATTATTATTATTATTATTATTATTATTATTATTATTATTATTATTATTATTATTATTATTATTATTTGTTTTTATGTAAAAAAAGGGAAAATTAGAATAATTGAAATGAATTATTTTATTGCGTGTCAAAACCTTAGAATCATTTTATTTATTAGTTATTGACATGATTGATCAATAATAATAAAAAATTTAATAAATTCTATTTTAGTCTTTTATTATTATTATTATTATTATTATTATTATTATTATTATTATTATTATTATTATTATTATTATTATTATCGATTTAATATAAATAAACAAAAAAGTAAAAGAAGTGTCTCTCGTATAACGTCTCTCATTTTCACAAAAATAAAATTTACTCAAATTAAAAAAAAAGGAAAATTTGTTTGTTTTTATCAAACTACAACCTTTTGTTTGTTTGTTTGTTTTTGTAAATTACGTTTTGGTTGTTGTTTGTTCTTATCACAAAAAAAAAAAGGAAAAACAAATTCTTGTAATTTTTTTAAAAAAATAATTTGAAATTTTCTTTAAGTAACCCCCACCTGATTTTTTTACATTGATCAATTTATTATTATTATTATTATTATTATTATTATTATTATTATTATTATTAATTGAATGACGTAATGAGTTCACAAAAAAAATATTACGTTTGGATTTTTTTTTTTTTATTAAAAAAAAGGAAAGAAATAATTAATAAATTAACGTCTTTATAAAAATTTTTAATTTGTAATCTCTAAAAAGAGGAATTTTATTTGAAATTATATATATATATATATGATGATGTAAAAAAATAATAATAATAATTAATGGTTTTTCGAAGGATTAATTAATTAATTAAATTTTTAATTTTATTGTAAATTAAAAATATTTAAATTCTAACACACGCGCCATATTTAATTTAAACAAATGGAATGATTTCATTTTTATTATTATAAAAGATTATTATAAAAAAAAAAATGAAGGATAAAATTTTTTTTTTGTGAATATTTGTAAATTTTTTTCTTTTTTTTTTTTTGTGTTCTAGTTTTTAGAAAATATATTTAATCGGCCTTCGATTTTTCCTTTTTAAAAAAAAATTTGCGTCAGCCATTTTTTAATTGTATTTTATATTGGCTTAAATAAGCGTGTTATTTGTACCGGAAATAGTTAGTGCTGCCATTTTTCGTATTATAACGGTAAGTTTTGGAACTAAAATAGTGACGCGCTTCTTTTCTAACGTCTTTTCCACAGAAGTAAAAAGAATTCTATGAAGTGATTTTGTAGTTTCTGTTTAAATAATTTATTTTTATTAGTTTTTTAATATTTAAAAGTATTAGTTTTGTGAATATTTTATTGACAAATCAATAATTTACAAATATCAATATTTTTTTTTTATTAGTTTTTTTTTTAACGGTAAGTTATAAAAATTTGAATATTTGCTGAAGCCGGTTTGAAAAAGTTGCATGATGATTTGAAAAAATGATCATATATTAACGATTAAAATATGGATTTGGGTAAAATAACCATGTCAAATATTGAAAAAGGTTACAATTTTGTATTTTTTAACGAGTTCTTGGATCTATATGTTCGGATTCTTTAATTGTGACATGAATCCAACCTATGTAATTAACAACGTTAACGTAAAGGCCTGGAACATTCTCATTTCCACATTCTATTCCTCCAGCCGTTAAACCAGTCAAATAGTATTTTCCGTTAATCATACATGCCAAAGCGTTACCTCCATCTCCCTAAAAAAGAAAAAAGAAAAAACATTTTAAGAAAAGAAGAGTAAAAAAGGTTTGTTAATATTATTAGTATATACATATAACCCTATCATTTACCGTGCAAGCATCTTTTCCAGCTTCCCCTCCAGCACATATAAAGCTATCACTATCAAGTGTAAATGAATTACCCAGCTTTGTCTTTCTTAATTTTGATTGACAATCATAACTTGACAAAACTGGAACTTCAACTTCTTTTATAATGGTTTGATAATTACCATGAAATTGATCTTTTCCCCAACCAGCTGTTTTACATCTATATTTGGAAAATCATCATTTTTGATTATAAATAAATGAAGAACATGTTATCAATGATTCATTTTGTGACATACCTTGATCCATAAAATATCATTGATGGAGGAGGTAAGCAAATAGTATTGACATGTGTATAAGGTTTGGTTAGGATGGGTACAGTTGTTGCCAATGTTATTATTGAAATATCATTTTTCAGGGAATGCGGATCAAAATGTGGATGATTAACGACTTTAGACACATGGACGTCCAAATATTCAAAAGGTTCGTGCCTTTCAGAGAGATCCCATTCACCTAAACGGACTTTAAGATTCTCACCATGCCTATTTTCAAACACAATAATAATAATGGTTAGTACAATTAAAAGAAACAATTATTTTGCTTTTGTAATGTTAAGTTTCTTACTCATATTTCACAACTCTGTGAGCAACTGTCAGTATGTGATTTGAACTTATAAGAACTCCTCCACCAACATAGTGATTACTATTGGTGAGAACTATTGCTGACCATGGATATTGACCTGGATATGCCTAAATAAAAGTCTCAAACTTATCATCATGTCAATATGAGCAAAATTTATGTTTCAGAACACAAAACAATGCTTACTTGTCCTTCTGAAATTGTGACTCCTGTATATGGACTGGAAACTCCACATCCTGTTTTACTATGTGTTGGTATGACAGCACAACAATAAATCAATCCATAAGCACAAATTGTTTCTGGTGGAGGCTGAAATTATACATCAATTAAAATGAATTGATTTGAAAAAGTTACTCAGTTTACATCAAAGATAAACTCATCTCACCTTTGTTACAATTCTTGTTGTTATACCACCATAAGTAGGTTTGGCATTGCAATGACTTAAAGGTATGCAATCGCATCCGGTTAATCCTTCACTAACACCATGAATATTTGAAGATTCATGGGATGGTGAATACCCACCACCATTATTAACAATTTTTGTTGTTACTTTATTAGGTGATGGAAAGCTTACATCATCTGAATTCTTATCAAAAGTTTCAAATTCGTATTGGGGTAGGATTACAGTTGGATAATGCGAAAAGGATCTAGTTAAAAAATCAGATGAATTAACAGGAGAAAACGTCGTCAATGGTTCCATTGTTGAATTGTCCACATCATCAGATCTTTCTTCAAATGTAATATCAGGTTCTGAAACGCGTTTAACATTTGATAAATTTAAACACAAAAGAAAAATCAAAAAATCAAATACCTGAGGTAAGAATAAGATGTGATTTATTACTTTCAGTTGAATTATCAATTGCAAAAGAATTTGAAAAATTTTGATGTCCACTGCACCATCCTAATATAAAAATCAATAAGTGACATA